CTCACCACACCCAAACTGAAATTCTTACACAACGTTACTCAATTGTCTGGAAGGCAGACATCTATTTGGACCATTGGGAGCATTTTTTATAAATCATCTGTGGGGTGTGGGCATCACTGGCAGGGCCAGCATTTATTGCCCACCCTTAGATGCCCTGGAGAAAGTGATGGTTACCACTGCAGTACGTTTACTGTAAAGGTTTTAGGGATGAGGCTGGGCAGGGTCTAAAATTGGAATGGAAGAAGTCAGACTGGAATCACAACCATTGCATCTGACTGCACTTTTACCAATACAGAAAGCAACATTTTACTGTCTGTGTGACAGTAGAGTAACTAAGGTACTTAACTAAGTCACTTGTCTGGAGTTTAAGTTCATTTTGAACTTTACCGATAGAACTTGGGAATGACAGGAATTCATAGGGGAAATCATTGATCAAAGGAGATGGTTGACAAGAGAAAGCTCCAGGATAGATCTCTGCAGCAGCCATGGAGTATAATAGCATGTTGTGCCATGAAGGATGCATCCAGGTGCATATTGCACATTAGAAAAGCTGAAACACACACACACAGCTGTCTCCAACAATAGTTTGCTCTGTTGTCATTCCGGCAGCTTGTTTCAATGAGCCCCAGACATAGAAGTCAGCTATTGCATCTCAACCACAATACACTGTTGATGTAGGAAGCAAGAGAACCTGGCACAGACTCCAGGCATTTCATTCCGCTCTGACCTTGCCATTACTGCATTTACAGGTCTCCATGCATTTTCAGATCCATTGAGTGATATGCTTGATCAGACTCACCATGAGGGTCCTGTATGGAGGAAGCCATTTATGCCCACACATGCATCAGCAGTAGATCCTCACTTAGGATCTCCTGCATCATCCACACTTGGCTACATGTAGGCTCTGGCAGTTCTACCCAAAAGTCCCCTTTCCTCTCGCTGCAGCAATTGGCATCCCGCCTCCAGCTCCAGAAGCTTGTCATCAGCCTTGGGGTCAGAATGAGCCTGGCCTCCCATAGTCCTCTGACTATCAATATCTTCGGCTGTCAACATTTCTTTTAGCTGTTTGGCTGGATCATGATGTACTCATGCTGCCAAATTTAACCACCGATATGAGAATATCTGTCCAAGTGAAAGGTGTAATGAATGATTATGTCCTCCTCAGAGGTACCATCTGGTTCCCCAGTGTCTTCAGCTGTCTTTGTTTGCTTTTCACCTCCACAATGTAAGTTAATTAGCTGGTTGCTTTAAAATCACACATGACCAGCATTCTGTGCTACAGTGGAAGTAGCAACTGCTTTGGGTCCCAATGTCAGGACATGCACCGTAGGCACAAGAATCATCAACAGCTTTGATCTAACCAAAGTTATTCTGGTTGAGGTTGAAGGGAACTTGCAGTCAGTTTGTTTTTCCAATATCTGCTGCAGCCAAAGTTACCCTTTGTGTCTTTCTAAAAATCTTCTTAGAACTTCATTGGTGCCACTTTCTTTTGGAAAGCTTTCAAAATAAATTCCTCATGGTAATTCTGCACTGATGTATGTTCTAAGGACTAATTGAAGACATCTGTGACAGTGTTCCTCAGAAGATCAATGAATTCTTGCCAATCACCAACCCTCTGATAACCTCTAGAGGAATCAGTGCAATGCATGTCCTCCCTTCCACTTCTTGGGCAGAAATAATTGTAACTCAGTCAACAATACAGCCAATCATAAAGTGCTGGAATGCTATTGTTGCTTGTCTCATGGGCATAGAAATCATTGTGTTACCTTGTGTGTACCAAATAATCTGCAGAATCTTAATTCCAATTCATTCAATTCAGTGTTGTTATATCCAGACAGAAATTCTGCTCCTTGTAACGATTGAGTAATGTGTCCAGAAGAAATTCCTCTGATGGTTGTTTTAATTTTCTTTAAAATAAACCACCACCAAATTAGCTAACTAAAAAAAATCAATTAACAAGCACTGCTTGATGACCAATTTAATATTTTTTGATTAAACCGCTAATAAATCACTGGTATTACTAAATAAACAATTAACAAGCTAATGGTTTATTTAATTATATTTTCTAATCGACCAGTTCAGCTATGTCATTATGTAACCAGGTCTCTGGCTCAGAGATACAGATGCTACCATTACACGACAACAGCCCTAACAGCTGGTTTCTTTTTTTTCCCAATTTCCACAAGTGCTTTGACGCAAAATTGGACATTTTATTTTCCCACCATCAAATTACTTGTGGCATTTCTTTTACCTATTAACCCCCCATTAGTAAATCACCCATGTTTACAATTGTTCAATTTAGGTGCAGAGCCCAATAAAGGCATTTAGACAAATTAATTTTTTTTATCATTAATGTGTTTAGAGATGTTATCAGACACCTCTGGAGCAAGTGGAATTTGGATTCAAGTCTCCTAGCACAGAGACAGAGACACAACCAATGCCCCACAAGACTTTCACAGCTGATATAATTTGTTTTGGAGCCTGTCATGGTGGAATCTAATTTTAAAATAGTTTTTTTTTTTTTTTCATATCTCGAAGTGCACTTACACACAACTGAATATTGCTTTCCCCATCACCAAATTATGTTTTCACCTAATGGTCACCACCAGTAAATCACTCATGTTTTCCAACTGATTAATTCCCGTGCAGACTCCACTATGGGCAGAGCAATAAAAAGAGAGGTAGGGAGAGGGTGAAATCAAAACAGAGTTGAAAACAATCAACTGATTTAATTTCTTTCATTGAATTCAGATTTCATCACGTGCCATGTTGGGATTCAAACACATATCCCAGAGCATTATGTTTGGGTATTGGAGTACTAGTCTAATGATATTACCACTGTGCCACTGCCTCCCCACTTGGCTGATTTAATAAGATTGCCGACCCATTCACTGCACCTGCGCTTGTTAATTCATTCAAAAAAGAGAAGCCCACAAATGAACTGGTAGCCCAGAGGGGGCAGAAAGGATTCTCTTGTCACTCTGCTGTTGCCAAATGACCTCCTTATTAATTCCTTAGAAGCACTGAACAGATGAAATCTTCAAAAGTCATATTGTGACCAAAGAAATTCAGAAACTGGATTGATGCTGCAATCCTCAAAACACCAGATAAACCCAAAATGACCAATTACAGCCTTGCAGCCTTCAAAATCAAAGAAATGAGTTTTCTTTTTCATTGCTGTTGAAGAGCATTGAGCCGGTAATTGATCCTTGGCATTGAAACTGAATAAGGATAATACACAAGACAAGTGGCTCTCGACTTCAGGACATGGCATTGGGATGGATACACATTGCTGGTCTCTAACTTTCATAACCTGCTGCTCAGGCAAAACTTCTGTATCAGGTCCAACTCACTGCAGCCATAGAACTCCTACATTGTGGAAACAGACCATTTGGCCCAATGGAGCCACACTAAGCAAGCCTCTAAAGAGCATCCCACTCAGACCCATCATCCTACCTTATCCTTGCATTTCCCATGGCTAACCCACCCAGCCTGAACATCCCTGGACACTTTAACATGGCCAATCCACCTGCACATCTTTAGACTGTGGGAGGAATCTGGAGCAAACCCCACAGGCACAGGGAGAATGTGAAAACTCCACACAGTCACCTGAGGGTGGAATCGAACCTGGATGCCTGGTGCTGTGAGGCAGTAGTGCTAATCACTAAGCCACTGTGCCACCTCTAAGCATTTATTGACCTGCATTAGCTCTTGGTTTCCCCCAGTGCCTCTGATTTAAAATTGCAAACACTCCAGGTGTTTGCACTGCCCATCATGAGAAGTTCTTTCAGCTTTCTAACTTCATCCTTAAGTCTGTTTCTACTTCTTCTTTTGGACAATGTGCCTTCAACTGCTTTATCCCACATCACCTAGCTTGTTTTATCCCTTTAATTCCTTTTCATAATTCAAGGCATTCTTAAAACCTCCCTCTTGGATCAGCTTTTGGCTCTGCCATCATTTTAAGGCTTGACATATTTTTTTTCCCAAACTTGTATGAAGTACCTTGAGGCTTTCTTTTAACATTTAATCCATAAAAATGCAACTTTTATCTGTCCTTTTTCAGAAGTTATTAATGACTAGTTCACTGTAACTAAGAACACAGTGTATTCTGTTGTACAAGTCCTGGCAGCAACTTGCTATGCATCCTGTAGACAACACACAGTGCATGCACAGTATACAAATTGTGAAGGAATGAGACATTTAAAGTGATAGAGGGGCTGATGATCAGCAGGCTGCTTCATATAACTAACCTGTTTTTTTCTTTCCAATGGTTTTACCTCAATAAATGGGCTCAGTGAAACCAACGTTACATCAGTCTCAAAATCATTAGCATTGATCTCTGCCTATTTAATTCAGCATATAATTTCACAGTACAGGAATTGAAAGAGACTGAATATCTGAAACATTATGGGCGAACCCATTCAAATAAGATCATCATGACATTTACAACATTATAAATTTACACTGCTGGCATTCACATCAGCACAGCAATGATTTATCAATAACACTTGTATAAAATGGCTTCTCAGGCTATTCATGTAAAAGCAAAGGAACCATATCAGAAGTTTAACTGGTTTTGGCTCTATTTCTGCATTGTTTCTTGTTATTTTGGATTAAGTCCACATATTGGCTAAGGTGCTTTAGAACAGTTGTTCACACATCGCCATTTTTCAAATGTTATTATAAATGTAAAGCAGTGGTTTTCTGCTTGGGAATCACTCTTTAGCTAATACCAGACAAAAGGTGATCGCCTACATGTTACTGTTTATCAAAGGAACTGAAGCATCAACATGGAAAGGTGAAGTCATTAGTCAAAGTAAGGGATCATCAAAGGAAACAATAGGTCTCTAAAGAGGTTGGTGACCAAAATGCGTTGCTTATTCCTGGGAATCAATTACTAAAAGGTCATACAGAAACTGCTTAAATTGAAAATATCCCCATTGCCTTACCAACCCTGTTCACACCTTATCCATGACGTTTACAACAATGACCCTTCTTACCTTGACTTTAATACCTTAGGCATTTCAAAAATCTACCATCTATGTCAACTGGCAAACAGGCTTCCTACTTTGCAAGAGCACTCTGACTCTTTAAATGCAACTAAATTATTAATAACCAAAAAATGTTGTGCGTGTGTGTGAGAGTGTGCTTGGTGCTTCCACCATGTTTCCCTGGTAACAATGTGTGTGACGCATGTACTCCTGAACTTAATTTATTTGTGGGAAGTGGGTGACACTATTTATTGCCATTCTTAGGTTTTCTAATGACATTATAAGCCAAAAGGAAAAAAAAGACGTTTGTTGATATAGTGCCTTCCACAATCACAAGATGTTCCAAAGCACATTATAGTCAGTGAAGTATTTTTCAAGTGTAGTCACTACTGCAATGTAGGAAATTCAACAGCCAATCCATACATAGCGAGCTTCCACAAACAGAAATGTGTAACAATCAGAAATCTGTTTGTTAGTGATGATGATTGAGAGGTAAGTGTGAGCCAGAAAGCAAGGATAATTCCCCTCTTCTTCTTTGAAATAATAACAAGAAATCAGTTATATTCACCTAAAGGAACAGATGGGATCTTGGTTTAAAATTGCATCTCCAAAGATTGTTCTTCAGCAGCTTTGCTGGCAAACTTTTAGCAGGAATTACACAGATTATACATGTTTTGGTGATCTATTTTGGAGAAAGCACATAATAACAAGAGTCGATGAAAAGACAGTACAAGAAAGATGAACATGCAGAAGGCCCAGTTCTGATCAACCTGAAGAGCAAACATTGTTTCTCACTTGACAGATGCTGCCTGACCTGCAGAATATTTCCAGCATTTTCTGTTTTATCTCAGGAAACCTCAGTTGTATAAATGATTGCTGAGAATAATTACACCGATGACCAATATCTGAAATGTTCCAGAGAAATTTCATCAATTTATCCTGAGCTCAGAAAAAAGCAGAATTATACGGAAGATTTGACAAGAACAAGACTGCAAGCACTAACTAAGGCTCAACCTTTAGTGACTCCCCATAAATTCCCAATTTTTTGCCAAGGTTTGATTTATTATTATGGTATATGCCAATCACTTTTAGACATAGAACATGATTAATCAGTTTGATAATTTTTTAATAACTTTGAAGACCAATTAAGTGCAAATATCATCCTTAAAAATTCTCATCTTGTATTCCTGTTTGTGGTGCTCAAGGGAATGTGGCAAGTAGAGCAGACTGTGAGTCAATGCTTGCCAGCTACTTTGTTAAATTATGCTCAGCACTTACATTCAGCAATAAACTAGATAAAAGTATGCACAAATATAAGATTTGTGCCTTTAGGGCCCCCCTTTTGGGCAGTTAATTTATTGAATGCTCAAGTTTTCAAGTGACACTACAACTTGTCTTCTGCCCTGTTGGTCATTCCAAGCAATATTCCCCTATAATTATCTTACCATGGCACAATTACCCCCAGTGCTCCCATTCATTCATGGCTCTTACAGCAAATGACACTGTCACTTGCTTATGGTCAGCCTGTGACCCCCATGTTCCACAACTTTCTGTTGTTTCCCAGTAGTGGGAGGGCTTGATATTAAAATCATTCAGGTCTCCATCTGGTACAAGAAGTTAGTAAATTAATTGAACAGCACTGTTTCCTGCCAGAAACCTGGTGGCAAATAAAGTTGGCGAAGCAAGTAGCTTTTTTGGTAATTTTAATCTTCTTTATTTCTATATTCTAAATATTTTACATTACATTAGGCTAATTAGAACTTTAAACACCAATGATTCAATAAAAATCTACAATGAACAAAATGTAATTTTAATAGTTAGAATGTAATTTGCTGTGGTAGCTTAGTAGTGCAATACTAGTAGAGACTTCTTTGGATCATACATTTACAACCAAGTCCATTTCCTGCTTTAAAGACCAAAAATTTTGTTTTTTTTCTAAATGAACATAACAGATCAAAAGCTTGAGGGACTTTCAAACCAGCTGGCACATGTTTCAAGCAGAGTGAATGCATCATTGTTCATGTATTTCACTGCATTATAATAAAAAATAGAAATGCTCTTGGGCACCAAACAAAATAAGATATTTTTTAAGGAAAAGTGTTATGTTAAACGCTTATTATATAGAGACTGAAGGAGGACAGGTGTGGAATTAGACCAAACATCTTGGCTCTTGTTTTTAATATCACTGAGTAAGCTCACTCCTGTGTCCCTTGATCTGCAGTGCTATTCTAAGGTTTGGCAACTGAGACATGGGAAATGCTCAAGAATTGGGAGAGGATGCTTAGAAAAGGCACAATCATCAACAGTGATGAAAGGAATCAATTGGGAAAGGACATTATTGAAGGCATGCCAATAATAAATAATATAGCAAATAGAAATCTGACAATTACCACAAGTTAGCTGTGGCACTGGAATAAGTTGGCTCAGATTTGTTGAAAGGCAAATCTAAGGCTAGTTTAAGGAATTTCTTCTTCATATAATGATCAATTGATGAATAGAATGAACTTATGCATGAATTACTGGAAATAAAAACTGTAGGTCCATTGCAAGACAGAGTCACATATGACGGGGATCTGTAGGTCCTCTTTAATTGGATGAGTTAAAAAAATCTTTTTGTCCATGTTCATATTATGGTCTCTTGATTCTTGCAAACTTTGCTGCCCATGTCTTAACTTGTAGCAAGTCCCATTCCAATATCACTGTGCTCATAGATCTATATTGTCTCCTGCTCAAGCAAAGTCATGATCCTAAAATTCCCAAATGAACATAGAGTTTTTTTTGCTCATTTTCAAATTCCTCCATGGTCTTGACCTTCCTCATCTCGATAATGTTCTTCAAGGCTCAAAACTTCCAATAATTCACCCTTCTCCAATGTTGGCCTCTGTGAATTCCCAGTTGTAACTATTCCTTTAATGGTGACCATACCTTGAGTTGAAAAACCACAGTCACCAACATTTCCCCTGTATCTTTATTTTTCCATTAAGACACTTCTCAAAACTTACCTCTTCAATCAAACTCTTGGTCATCTTATTCAATGACACCTTATGTTTTTCAGAGCTATAAATGTTTCATTATGCCCATATAAAGTGCCTTGGGCCATTTTATTACTTTAAGGTGGCTTTTTAATTTAAGCTTTTGTTCCTGATTTTGTTGAGAGAATTACTTCAAAAGATGTTGATGAACTTCTATTGATGCTTCTGACAGCTGTCCATCAGGAGTCTTTGATAAATACCTAGACTAAACTCTGACATTTTTTTTCTACCTTCTTCCTGTTAGAAGGACCTTGTTGGACCCTACATCACCTCATGGCAAAATGAGATTGAGAGTTTGGGATTGGAAGTCAGAAAATCTGAATGTATCGTTCAGCATTTAGTAATTGAATTTTGGTATATTTACATTATGATGATTTGCTGCACAGGTAACCAATCCTTCCTTCTTAAAATTAATTTCTGCATTTAGTCTATTGTGTCTGTTAGCTCTTTGAAATAATTTCTCAACTAGTTCCACACACTGGTGCTGTCCCCTTAGCTCTATATTTTGTTCCTTTTAAGAACTAATCCAACTCCCTTTTGAAAGTTACCATTGAACCTGCTCTCATTGATTGCAGATTGTTTTAACAGTTTTTTTTAATCATCTTTTTGCCTGTAGTACCTATCACTCAAACCTATGGTTACTGATCCGTCTGCCACTGGAATGGGTTTCTTTTCATGTCCTCCATCCATACTGTTCATGGTTATAAATCAAGCTCTCCCTCGACCCCTTGCACTAATGAGAATGTCAGCTTCTCCAGTGTTTCCACAATATTGATTCAGTTTCTTCATGAAAGTTGCCATTGACTCTGCCTCTACTAAAAGTTCATTTTTGGAGGCCCAGTTTACAATTTAAAGTACGCGTACAGTCTTTTCAGAAAGGTGCCCCATCAGTTTCAACGTTGAAAACACAGAAGACCTAACCTTGGTCACCAGTCTCTTCTACCCTGCTACTGCTGTTTCTAACCAAGTCTAAGTCTACACAGGAAGGAGGTGGGTGTCAGTATTATTAATAAAAGACTGTGTATGTCTGTTTGCACAATGAGACAGCAGTATACACTGGATAAAAATATTAACTTTAAAAATAAACCAAATCTGTTTCTTCATTATTCATGAAAACATTCAAGGTATTTATAATTCAGAGTCCTGTCTATTGTTGTGAAATGATTTCTCCTTCAGGGTTAGAAATACAATGTAGCAGAATAAGTAAGTAGAAAAGATTTGCCAGACATGTATGCACAGGTAACACAAACATTGTCAGCCAGTATTGCGTCTGGAACAATCTGTGTACTTTCATTGAACCCCTGCCAGCCTTTGCTGGCGTCAGGACTGACAAGTAGCATGTTCTGCATCTCATTACCAGACATGCTTTGTTAATATAGACTGTCAAAGATTACATTAACACAAGAACACTGAGCAAATTTGGGATGTGATAGTGTATGTTACAAAGTATTAAGTATTATGCAACTAGATAACGTCCATCATGAATTAGGATCTAAGATTCAAACTTATTTACTGCTTGGTTGGTTAATTTTTCTAGCATTTACAGTAATTGCATGCTAGATGGATACCCCTTTAAATAATTTTGGCTTCTAAAGGTGACTAAAGGTCTTTAATAATCTAAACATGGACATAAATAATTAGGTTCCTGGTGCATGGACACTTCATTTTTATATGAATGATACAATGATCTGGTTAAGATGTTTGTTTTAATAACTGGTAGTGATGTGTCTTGTGAATATAGTAAATGATCATATCATAAAAAAAAAATTCCAGGCTCTCGCTTCTGATTAAAAACAGATTTCTGAGCTGTGAACATTTGACAAATGTAATGATCTTCTGACAGTGTAATGAGTTTTGTATCTACCTTTCCAAAGCAACATCTGTTGACAACTTCCATGCCTGAAATCAGTTCAAATCCATCACTTAATCATTGTTCATTTCATATCTCAATGACCCATCAGCTCATCCAGCAACGTTCAAGTCACCCACTTACTTTTTAAATGTTAATATTTTGTTTTTTTATAAGAATGTAGTTGATGCTACAGGATGTATCACCA